CGTTTCTAATACAATATGTTTACCAGTAAAGACTCTTTAGTTCGGAAAATTAAACACTAATGCCATGTACGAAAACTATGGAATTCCCAAAGAAAATGAGAAAATCGTACTAACTTGCAACGAGAAAATAATTGTCTGAAAACAAAGTAAATTTATTGTTGAGGAGTATGAAGGAGAGCAAAAATCCAGACTAACGCTTCAAGCAAGTTTCTAATTTCTGTAGCAATTGTCGGCACGGGGGTTTGTTTAACGCATAAGAAAAAACTAAAAAAGCTACATAAGTGTTACAGAAATAAAAACACAAAATGTTTCCATGTGACGTAAAGTTATTATAAAAACACAACATCATTATAAAGCCAACACTCAAGGGGCTTCATATAGATTTAAAAATAATAAAAACCCTCCCTCTTGCCATCGATTTAAAAAGTTTGTCATCTCGCTATGAGTGTAGGTATCTATTCTAGCTGCATTATATTAGTCACAGACCACAGTGTATTATTTACAACACCTTATACATTTAAAAGCGATTTATGGCTTCTAAAAGGTTTCATTTTATGAATGAAAGTTTCAAAAATGTATTGAAATATGCGTGCTCGATAATGGATACGATGAGCTGTGGAGACACTGTTCGTCGGAACGAAACGCGCTTTTGCTGCAATTTATTCTTCTCTACGCACGTGGAGGAAAAGTTTTAAATACAATAGTATTATGTCTACTCAAAATCGACAAAAACGAGCAAACCGATGGTACCCACACATCGCCGAGGTCGTGAAAAATCTTGCAAACGCAGTTTTTGTGGGCGGCGGTGGCGGGTGTGCGCCCGAGCCATTTAAGGTCAAACCACGGTTGACCCCGACAGATGAGAGTCGTAGTACACCGCGCGTATACCTCTACGTCTACACTGTACAGTATAATATTATATGGGCCCGTTAGCGTTCGTTGGCTGTATGATAATGATGGTGACGATGATGATGATGATGATGATGATAATAATAATAATATCATCTTCGGTAACCGGTTCCGATATAGTACGGAATTTCGCGCCGCCAACAGTGGACCGGTGTACGAAATCGGAAATTCCTTATACGACACATTATTATTATTTTAATATAATGTGGTATATTTTTATACCCGGACCAGAGTACATGTTGTTAAATTTTATTCTCTACCGGCGAACATTTAATATTTAATATATTATAAGATAATAATGTATACATTTTCTAATACGAATAACGAGGCTGTTTGTTCAGATGTATTGTGTTAAGCTTAAGAAATACCACTTCATTGTTTTCTCGTTCTCAGTCCATGTTTACAGTTTAGTAGGAACGATTTATATTTTTAACATTTTTGCACGTATATAATACAGTATATCGCATTAGTTTATTTTTTAGAAGCGCTAAAATTATAGAAGACCGTAGAAGTGCCAGTAATACATACTTTGCAGCCTATATGAATTATATTCGCATAGATAATATAAACAATGGTTAATAAACTTTATGATAAACTATTATATTAAAATAATGAGCGCAACAACAATTTTTGAAAAATATTCTATTTCAATATTTAATGCATTAAATTCAAATAATCATTTACGAAAAAATTTAAACTTGAAAAAGTTAACACTTAACTTAACTCTCAACGTTCAATCTAAAACAAACATACGAATTTACTGTTACGACGAGAGTCGTTGTGCGTCAAATAATATAATCTGATACAGTTAGTAATTGAGAAACAGTTATTGCATTAAACCTACCTACTTAATAAACTTGAGTGTTATTAAATGTATATACATTATTTTTAATTTGATGAACAAATAGAAGTATGGGATAATGCAAAAATATGCATTAAGAAATAAGAATTAGTAGAATCTAGTATTTAATTAATTATTTTAGGTACTGTTTATCTTGTTGTCATCTTTATATTATACCTCATAGAGTTGTAAGGATATTTAATTGTCTTTAAACTCCTCGAATTAAATTACTATCAATAATATAGTGGCTGGAATGTAGGCTGTGTCACTATAAGCAACCGGTTGGACAGCCTGTCTCCTTAATATTTTTTTAAATAACAATTATTCTCTTTCGTGTAAAATAAAAAGCTTATCTTTTCTTAACAAGGTTTCTTGCAGTTTCTTTACGTATTTCATATGAATTACAACCAATAATTTTAAAAATTCTCAAATGTAACGAGTCACAAGTAGGTACTGGTAACTATAGGTACAAAATAATATTATATTACATTGAATGCAGCAGATAGACGAGATAATATAATGATAGCAGAATAATGATTTAATTAATTTAATGCTATCGAAAAACAATGTAAAGAACGACATCGACAATAATAATATTATATACCCCAAAGCCAAAAATATGGTAAATTAATATTTTCATAAAATCAACAATGGTTACCACGGCAACGATGGTCACGAAGGACGGACACAACGGGAATTCTACTTCATATTGAAACCCAAAACTACGACTACCATTTGATTTTCAAAAGTCAATACTATTTTTATGTATTGTAGTATATACGCTGCGGAGAACGGGAAAAACGAGATGAAAAAAAAAACAAAGCAAAATAAAACGTCCTTCCACGGATTAACAATAATATAGTCATATTATTAACTATATAATACGATTGAAAAAATAGAGAACTCCCGACTAAATCTGAAAAAGGTTCATAAAATAATGTTTGCCGGTCCCGCGGCGCAATCGACGACAACGTAACAATAATACGATGGTTTGCATTATCACGCAACTATAATACAGTGCCCATTATACGACAATACCTCCTTGACATTCGGAGATGAAGACGCGCCGAGCGTAGGCGATGTATAATAATATAATGTCGAAGGCGTCGATTCTCACGATTGTATTTTTATTTTTCGTCTAGGTATTAGGTACCTACAAACAAAATAACCGTTTAAGAAGCTATTGATGGTTTTACGCTCGCCGATTTCATACAGTCATTATAATAATATGTATGTGCACACGATATTGTGCGATATTTGGTACTGCACTAACACTGTTATTATAACTCGGTCGTACACGAATGACTTGCGTCTTGCACAATTAATTGTGTACGGCTAGGCGGCGGCTCGTAAACACGATTTTTGTTTTTACCCAAAGCGATTTTTTTTTTCTTACTATTAAAAATATCACACTGACACCGAGCCGCGTCCTTGGTGTCGTCGTTTTATGGGTTGTTTTTTTATTTAATTTTTTTCAAAATGCAATTTTACACCTGTTATTAAAACAATAACAACACTTAATGAATCGCGATAGCCTGTTATTGTTATATATTTTATTTTATTTAACTCTTACTATGGAATTTTGATAAGCCACGCAATTTCCGCAGCGTTCGTAATCATATTGTTGTTGCTGCAGTCAAACGATAAAAACCAATGTCAAATACCCAGCAGTCGAGAGTTCCTACATTTTAAGCTGTGTAATACAAGACAATTAACTATTATTATCGTATTTGATATCTGTAGGTTTTCAATTTCAAATGATAAAACGGATCATGACAATATTGTTTGACTACCTACCTACATATTATAACGCCTTGACTCTCTTGGTTGACACACGAAACACAGTCGAAACCACTCCACAACAGTACGCGGATTTTAATCAGCTAAATGCGGTGTACGCGGAAATACTAGTTGGTACCTATTATACTACACTACTATTTTCAATATTTTGTGTCATTATCAATTATTTTTTCTATCATAATTATTATAATTATTATTATTGTTAAGGTCTAACCATGTCGTCGCCTATAAGCTTTATCGTATCGATTAACCTCTAGACTAATAGACACATAATTATTAATATTATTGATAGGTAGGTAACAAAACTGTATAATTAATTTAAATGTATTGATACCTAATACCATAATATGTCTGGAAGAATTGACAATTTATTTTTACACTGAAATTATTTTAAATACATCTCACATCTTACAAATTACACACTGTATACTTATTATGTTAAATATATAGGAGAACTATGTTGATGCACTCAAAAATGTAATTGTTTTAATCGCATACCGTACAATATTACACTGTTACGGGTAAACTGATATGTGGAATGTAACATAACATAATGTAATATCGCGGTCAATGATTCAACTCGTCAGACGATAATGATAATATGAAATCGATATCACCGTGTAAAAATGCAAATTTTAATATCCTATATCCCACTCCCAATTTATATTGAAGCCGTCGAGTCAATGTGGGTATTCAAACTTCAAGTAATACGTTCGGTGGTATCCACAATATAGCAGCAATACTCTAAGAACTAATCCGGGAAACTGTGTGTACACGAAACGAATAGTGTTGCAACGGTTCTGTATTTCGGAGTCTAGTACAATTTCGTTTTAATATCGACTAACAAAAAAAAATTTTCACCTCAACCAGCGTTTGGTTACCAAATCATTTCGAAACAATCTACATATTATTATATAATATAGATAGAACCTACTATATTCAATTTTGTACTATTGCACTACTAGTATTTATGCTACAATATTATATATCTACTATGTAACAGTATTGTCATTTGTCGCTATGATATTCTAATACAGAAAACTCGATGTCACCTGCAGGCAAATGGTTTCCTAGGGGTGGCCAACATAATATTCTAATATATTTATTTCAAGTATGCTATGGAAAAAAACGAATCTTTTGTTGACATCGAAATATAATATGAAGATCCATTATTTAAGCATAATATTTGACTTCAGTGTAAGCAATTATAAAATCAACTTATGTTTGGCAGATACGTCTGTTTTTGAGCAATTTTTTGATGAAATTCTGAGTTAAATAGTATTTTTTTTTGTTTGTCACATAAACATATAAAGGTTGGGAATTGCTAATACACCCACAACTATGGTACATTATTGGGGTGTACTGTAATACTTTTATGATTAGTCATTATTCATTATTATTATTAGTGTTGTTAAAATTATTTTTTGGTAGAAGGTCAATAAGTACATACCTAAAACGCAACATTCGTCCATGCCGCAATCTTCTGAGCTCTGGCAGCCGATGAAAGAAGGTTTGCTTGGATATGCGGCCACAGTAACCACTAACATCGTAACTACGACCAAAGATAATTTTCCCATTTTGTTGTTTTTAATTTTGACTTCGATAATCGATATTAAAAATCTGAAAATGAAAAACACAAGGTTAGCGTTTTTACACACACGATCGTTATGTCGTATATAATAGTGTATATTAAAATAAGACCGTTGTAATTGCAATCAAATGCGTGTAAGGCGGTGGTCCAAAGTTTCTACAAATCTAATCAAAATCTTGAACGAAAAAATAAGTTTGTATTATATTAATTTGAGTAAACTGTAACGTATACGTAAACTGTATGAATATAAATCAAAAAGTTAATTTATGTACTTCTGGTGTTTTCGTTTATCATATTAGTATTATGTTAGTACCTATTTATATAATGTAGTATGACTGCCTTGATATTTATCTATGTTTGATGTCAAAATTACAAAATTACACTAACATAAATGTTTTTTTTAAAAATAAAAGAACAATACTGTTCTTAAACTCAAATATTATAGATAAACACTCCAACCGTGAAATATGAAGACTATGAAAAATTAAAACTAAAATTAGCATAAAGCATCTATTTTATGACGTATAAACATTAAAATATATACATGATACCTAGGTACTTGTAAATATAACGATGAACAGAGCAGCTACTGAACAAACAATATAATTTGGAAACTAAATTGTATAATGTATCTTGAACATACCAATAATAGATCAACATTCAGTCAATTTTCTTCTGCGATTTGGAAAAACAATTATAACTTGTAGCAAGTTTACCAAACAAATTTTACATCATTAGGGGAAGTCGCGAAGATACTATATCGTATCTAACGCTAATTTTCAAATGTTATAAATATTATAATATACTGAAGAAATGGATAATCTTTACACAAAACAATTGAGACGTGTTCTGACTCCTATTTCGTGTTACGGAACAATGTTCACATTTTAGGCGATTGATGAAAAATAAACCAACAGAAAGACAACAACAATCGATCTTGTAACGTCGAGTTTCGAATGTTTTAAGATTTTCACGAGAATAACTTAGAATCGTACATCAGTTGTTTATATTATATAACTCAATAATTTTATACTACGTATAACACAATAACACTCTGATATGACTCAATCAAATCAGACACGTTTTTTATAGCTCGACGCCAGTGACGTATTGAAAATTTGGTGTATCAGCGTTACGATTTTTCGAATACAAACAAATTCATTATACATCAAATGCGCCCATATGGCATATACTAGCATCCTATTTTTTTTTTTGCTGGTTATTCTACTAATGGATTTATCCCATACTATCTATCGGCGTCGGGCATTATTAGTAAGCATTCTCTCTCTTGAAATTAACGCTTTGTGAAAAATCGCAATCTCGTCAAAAATGTATACATATACCTAACTATACATTTTTTTTTATACAAGTAAAAATAAAAGTCAACTAAACAAAAACACGTCATCGCAACCGATGCAATGAGCATAGTCACAAAAAAAAAAAAAAAACGAAATTCCAATAACAACACAGAGGCCGACTTTGTTATATGTTATGCCAACGGCCTTAAAGTTATCATTATAATTAGGCCTCGGATTTGATTTGAAAACTATCGGAACATTTTCTTCAAATTACCAAAAAAAAAACCCCGAACAAAATCCCTTTTCAATATGAACGCTGCAATAGTGTTCATTAAAAAATACCTACATAGTGACACAGATTATAGGAAAATGACGGTTTAATTTCGATATTTTTAACACTTCTTTGGGTATCTTAACTAAACCAAGGATAAATGGATAATAAAAAAACAAAATACGGAACTTAAGCGCACGGTCAGTAAAAAAAACAGTATTCAAAATAAAAGAGATCTCAACGCAACTTCTACAGACCAATAATAGTTGTTATTTTTTCGAGTCCCATTAAGACACCGCGTCTGATAATCACTGTAGAAAGATAGCGATGTTTTCATTTTCAAAACAAAAATGATTATCATTTGGTATACTTATGAAAAATACCTAAAAATGATTAAAGCAAATATTATGAAAATAATATTTTGAATTTCATCATTTATATTTAAATCTCGTACAGTGTATTATGTAATAAGCACTAAAAATTAATAGAATAACACGAAAATTCTAAGAAATACTATAAAAAAGGTTCACCTTTGAAGTATCAGCTGTATACTTAGAATGCATTTGAGCACCCAAAAGTAATTCAACTTTGCATTGAAATCTAGACCCTGTATTAATATAAACATAATATTATAATACCTGGCATGTATGTTATATAAAATACATAAAATAAGGGTCATCAGTGGTAGTGGCGGTGAACAAACGTTTAAAATTTAGATTCTCTAGAAGATTTCTGAAACTGATTTCACTGTATGACCGGATATAAAAATGAGTAATAACTAATAACACGATAGCGTCGTCGTCCCTGTCGTGTGATACATTACATAAACTTGATATTACATCAATATCAGAGTCATGAAATACCGACGGCATAATAATATTATTAAAATCATGTTCTAGAAATTCGATAGTCCCTCGACGAAGACGACTGACTCTCGATGACGCAATGGACGAAATAATATTATTATTTGAGTCTCGACCTGGGCGGACTTTGCAGAACTGTAAGCTTAAAATGTTAAGTATCATAAATGTATATTATTAGACGGTGCAATATTATAAAGATATATTATTATCTTCTCTAAGATCTGCCAGGTTAGGTTACGTGGATGCAAGAGCACACACGAGTATATTTCGTGCATGAAATCCGGATTTAAAAAAATCTAAAATCTGTTGAACCGCGGGCATGCACTTAACCTAATAATATTCTTCCGATGCGGTGTTCTAAGTCCGATAATTTTAATCATAAATCGTTTTGTATCCGAAATATATCTCATCATTTTATGCAAGTAGACCAAATACTTAAATCTTAGATTTAATATATATACATATAGATAAATATTTTATTATTGCACAATTATTTGTAGCTTAAAAGTATACAGTGTTTTAATGTTCTGTTGGCACAATATCTATATTATTATGTAGATGTAAAGTATACGTCAAGAACTTTTTAGGATATTTATCACACAATTTTCACGATTACGGTGAACAGTCAAATTTGTTTTTACAAAATGTGATTGGCTGTTTTCTGTGTTTTTTCTTATAGACAACGTTATGAAATAAAAGCATTTAGTTGCATCGTTTACTATTACTACACAGAGTTATTCACCAAACATACTCATCCTCATTTTTTTATTATTAAAGTATTTTACTGTACAACTTAAGTGGAGATACAAACTTATATTTTTAAAGCATTTTTAACTCAAGTTATTAATTATTTAGTGGATAATATTTTTTAAATGTTAATGTATGTTCCTACTTAATAAAAAATGTGAATAGTATTTTCTTATTTATGAATATGTTTATATTAAGTATAAATGTCTTTAAAAATGGTTTTATCAAAAAAAAAAATATACTATTGGATCTATTATTAATTATACTTGGACCAGTTTTGCAAGTTAATAATGTTAAAACACATTAATACTAATTGAAAAAATGTTCAAATCAGTCTTCTGAACCCATTATTACGCATCTATTATCCTAAGTACACAAAGTAAAATAACTCAAAAATAACTCACAATAATTTTAGTTCTGTTCTTTAAAATATTCAGAAAATTATCCGCTAAATAATGTACAATAGAAAAGAAGAGGTCTTATTCGAACTGCATTATTAAAGAAGAGGGGTGCCTGATAAAATGCTTGGTGAATTCACTGTATTACTATATGGCTGTCGGCTATATTTCTTCACAATTATTTCTCAAGACTTCATTATAAACAAATTGATTACGGTTTGCATTGCTTAGTTCTTCATGATCATAGTTATGAATTTATTACGTAATATTTTTTAATTTGCTTTATAAGGACTCAAATTATAAAACAAAACGATCACATTATTTGTCGCGTTAAAATTCATTATGACGTTCAGTTAGAACACCATTTCATCGGCATACATTTTTAATAATAAATTGAAATGTATATTAAAATAATACGTAGAAAATAGTTGAATTCAAAGTATTTATCCTTTACTACCTATATTATTGTATCCATTGAATTGTTATAAATTATTACCCAATGTCATAAATTTATAAACATCAAAATATGTGAACCTAAATTAATTTAATATAATGAACCATTTAAAAAACCATACAAATAATAGTTGATATGTTTTAATTTTTAAAACAGTTTAGAATTTCTAACCTTTAAACAATTTAAAGGTACCTACGTATACTGTATAATATTTGATACTATTCGTTATTTTCTTACTCTTAAAAACTTTTCTAACTTAATAATATTAAACATTTTGTTTAATCTAAATATCTCTATTTATCTAAATATATTTTATAATAAATAATTATTATCATATTAATAGATTGTTAAGTCTCCAAAAGTTCACATTGTTGACATTCAGTCAAACTTAAATATTTAAATCGAATGATTCGTTTGGTATTTGCATCATAATATGATGTAGGTACTAGGTACCTAACGTATGTACTTATAAACAGCAAGGTCGTAAAATGTATACCTTTGAAAAATTCAAGTATAAACTGTCAGTGATATTTTCGGGGTAACCGTCTTTAGATCGTAACCGTATCCATCTAACAAACTCGCAACTTACACAACGATTCGCCAACAATTTTGCTGTATTATTAAATATAGATCTCCAAATAATAACTTTTTTTATACTACTTGAAAAAAATATTAATTTTCATATTATGGTCATACACTTTTTACGGAAATGCCGATAATTGTCACGTGTAGATTTTCCCACATAATGTGAGCCAAATAAAACGTAAGTCTGACGTGTAAAATTGCATTTTGAACGATAATAATTCATCGAGGTTGTTTGAAGCAAACAACGAAGACAGCAGACAAATATAATGTTATACATTACTATATTACGCCATTGCCTGTAAAAAAAATTTGGCAAAAACTAAATATATACGTGACGATAGACAAACGACTATAAATTATAATAATGCCTGTGTATACCGCCATTGTTTCGCCATTTTGATTCATATTCTCGG